CATTTTTATTAGCATATATTAGTTGTGTAGGAGGATTCATTGTGACATTTCTGTTTATGCTTACAATGTACATTGGTTAGGTTTGTCCCCACCATCTCTCTCCCTCATTTCCCCTTCTGCCCTACTTAAAAGGATTGCAACAGGTTTCATTGTTACATTTCATATAAGCATATAAAGTACATTGACCATACTCACCCTCTCCCTTTTTAAGTCACTTATTCAGTAGGGCCACTGACCTTACAATTCCACACAAACTTTAAAATTAAAATATGTCTGATGGAATGATTTGGACTTACAAATACTTCCTATAATACTGCTCTTATATTATGACACAACATTGAGAATATTTACAGTCATGTATTACAGGAACAAAATAAAGACTGATAATAAAAGAGAACTTTGAATTTCATTGAAGAGGATTATATGCATGCAAATAATTACTGGGTCTATTTATGTTACTTGTTGTATTATACACTAATAATGGTACATTCCAAATGCACAGGCCATCCTCCTGAGATTTCCTAAACATGTTATGGATTTGAAATTTTTGTGCATTTTAAATGTCACTGTAGGTGATTTTTATTTTCTAATAATTTGACATTTATCGATGTAAATTTACAGAAAGGTGTTAACTAGCTAGTTCAGGTTGCTGAAACCCTTCCAAAGAAAGGCCTTTCTTCAGGAAAACTGGTTTTTGATCAGCTCCTGGGAAGTGACTTCTGAGCCCTTGGACCATCCACCCTGATAACAATGTTTTAATGTGTCCAAGACCTGTGTGATAGTCATATCAACAATTGACTTATGGTGAATGCATGGCTTTAGGGTCTGAGGCCCTGGGCTATTAGATCTCAGGAGGGTTCAAGAGTGAGTAGCTATCGTCAGACTTTCAATAAAAACCCTGGACACCAAGGGTTGAGCAAGATTCCCCGATTGGCAATATTTTGCATGTACTGTCAACCACTTGTCCATGCTCCTTCTTCCTTTGATGTTTTTTGTTATTTTCTTTTCAGTGCTGGGGATTGACCTCAAGAGCCACACACATGTGAGGCAAGTGCTGTAGTCTGAACTACAATCCGATCTCCCCTTTGTTGACTTTAACTTGTATCTTCACTCTTACGAACTGTAACCATGAGTATTGCAGTCTTTGTGAGTTCTGTTAGATGTTCTGGCAAATACTCAGACATGAGGGTAGCCTGGGGGACACCTGACACTGTAAGGTAGGGATCAAATTAAGTTTTCTCTATGAAGAATCAACCATGCAATGGCCATTCATTGAATAGTCAATACTTTTCATACTGTTAATTTAAAATGTCCATCCTTTTGCCAATACTACTTTATTCATAATTTATTACAAGATTTATTACAAGAGCTGTTTAATAACTTTTGACATCTAATCTTATTCACGGGTCTTTGTTCTATATAAAATTTAGGGTCTACTGAGCAGGAGGTGTGGGTGATAGAGCACCTGCCTAGCAAGTACAAAGCCCTGAGTTCAAAGCCCAGTATCACCCCCAAAAAACAAAACAAAACAGTGCCCAAGGTACTAAGCACTGATTAAAAAATAAATAAAATGCAGGGTCTACTTACAATTTCTAAGCAAACCCATGAGGGGGTTTTTCTTTGCATTTGGTTGAATTCAGAGTAATTAGGAAGGATAGATAGTCCTATTCCTCCTACCCACGAACAAGACTACTCTTCTTTCTTACTAAGATATACTATGTATCATTCGATATTTTGTACTTCCCAAGTCTTTGAACATTTTTTGATAGATTTTTTCCCCCCAAGGTATCTTGTATTGTTCTTATGATAAATGAGATTTCCATTCTATTTTAATTGGTTATTACTGTTTTGTAGGAATGATAATGATTTTGAATATTGATTTTTCTTTTTCATTAGCATATATTAATTGTACCAAGGGGTTTCATTGTGATATTTCCACACATGTATATAATGAACTTTGATCAAATTCACCATCTTTTACTCTTTCTTATCCCATTTCCCCTCTTTATATTTGTAGTAGGTTTCATTATGCTATTTTCATGCACACATACGTGTATGTCGATCATATTTGTACACTGATCTTATAGACATAGCTATATTGAACTTTTATTAAATGCAGATTTTAAAAAATATTGGCAAGTAAGCCAAAATAAGTATTTTCTCTTAAGAAAATAAAAATGTAGGCAAATACACCATGTGAAGAAAAGTTTTATTTTTGTTTACAGTTTTTACTCACTTAATTACATTTATTCAAGGACACACTGTTCTCCAAAATGATTACTTTCAAAGTAAGTTTTCACAACATCACTAAAACTTAATTAACATCACTGGATTGCTTCATTTTTGTGGATATGGTAAGGGATGTAATAATACTTCTTTGTAGTTTCATGCTTCGTTTCCAGACTAATAAGGCTGGGAATGTTTGTTTCTTGGTCATTTGGATTTCTTTGCCATCTAAGTCTTGTGTCCAAATTTCTATTGATGGTCTCTCTCTTCCTGATTTATAAGAATCAACTTCATATTCCAGATATGAGGTATTTTTAGCCAGTTACATGTACTGTAAATATGTTCTTCAAGGTTCTTGATGTTTTGACTCTCTAAGGAAGTTAAGATTATGGGTAAATATTCCTGATGGTCTCTCTATAGTTTCTAAATATGCTTCATATAAAAATTATAGTAAAAAGAAAATGGTTTGTTATATCAGAGAGAATTCTGGGTAGCCAAATCAGAAGAGAAGAAGAGCAGAAAGTTAAGGAAACCTAGCAGTGGTGCAGTATGACTATAATCCCAGCACTCTAGAGGCTGAGGCAGGAGACTGCAAGTATGTAGCCCAGTGGAGGCTGCATAGCAAGAACCTGTCTCAAAAAAAAAGAATTTGTAAATTTTATTTTATATTATTAAATATTACTATCTGATAGCATTCAATTAAATGGATCACTTAAATGGAAATATTATGATTTTTTTGGAGGTAATGAAGTTTGAACTCAGGGCCTCACACTTGCTTGGCAAGCATTCTGTTGCTTGAGCCATGCTTCCAGCCCTTTTTGTTTTAGGTTATCTTTCAGATAAAGGCTCCACTTTTTGCCTGGGGTTGGTTTCAGACCATGAGCCTGCAACCTATCCCTTCCATGTAGCTGAGATTACACCACCTATGACTAGCTTGTTAGTTGAGATGGGGGCATCTCATATGCTTTTTGCATAGGATGGCCTCAAACTATGATTCTGAGTATCTGGGATTACAGGTGTGCACCACCACACCCTAAATGGAAATAATTTAGTATTTAAAGTTGGAAACAATAAAACTTCAGGCAAAGCAGAACATTCAATCAGTTTCATTGAATTTGATTTTATACATAATTTACCTAAGTAGACCATACAGCTAAGAACCATAATATTAACAAGTCTGAATTTGCCATGGTGTACAGTCTCAAGCATGAGACTGACATGCTGAAGAGTACTAAGCCTAGTTCTAAGTAAACTAGTAATTACAAGTCAAGTTACCACTTTGGCTAAAGGCTTTGCAGGATCCTAATGAAGTTATTCCTCAAATATTTTCCTTGTATATTTAGATAATGAGCTAAAATGTGAAAAGTGGGTAAAGAAAAACAATATAAGAAAAAAAGATTCAGTTCTTAAGGAACAGATTATAACAAAAAATTATGCCCCAATTGAGTAATTTTTGCTAAGAATTTGATAGCACGTGTTCAAAGTAACTATTTAACCTAACTACTCCTAAGCTTTCTTCTTTCATAAATATTAATAAAAATGTGACAGGAATGTAATGAAGAAAACTGAGATGCTTTAATTACACGTTAATCTTTTGAATTGCACATTTTCTCTTGACGATTAGAATGAAAATAAAGTGACTATAAAATTAATCTTTTATACATGTTTGTGCAAAGTGCAAACCTAACTGCTAAAAGATGAAATACTGACATTTAAAAATTAATTTAAAAAGAAGAACTGCTTTCAATCGTAAACTAAATTTTTTTTTTAATTTCTTTTTTTTTCCTTTTTCTTTTATTATTCATATGTACATACAAGGCTTGGTTCATTTCTCCCCCCTGCCCCCACCCCCTCCCTTACCACCCACTCCGCCCCCTCCCTTCCCCCCCCCCAATACCCAGCAGAAACTATTTTGCCCTTATTTCTAATTTTGTTTTAAACTAAATTTTTTTTGTGTTCTTTTTTTGGAGGTTCTGGGGTTTGAACTCAGAGCCTCATGCTTGCTAGGCAGACATTCTACTACTTGAGCAGCTTTGCCAGTCAACTAAATATTTTTTAGAGAACCAAGTGCTTAAATAAAGGGATTTTAAATGAAAAAAAAGAGACCAACAACAAACAAATAATAATGTTTGAGTAAAAATCCTTCTAACACAGATAATGCTGTGACATCATTTTCCTGAGGTAACAAGACCACTCATGCTAGTTCTATTAAGCTAATATTCTTCACAGAATCTATGATACATTTTAATTATTTATGCTAATGGAATGTCTGACAATACAGCATCAAATAAAGCAGCAGCCAAATGCTAAACAAGTGGTTAAGTGCTGAAAAGTTATGCTAAAATAGGTTTGTGTGAACCTCTGAGAGCCCTTATTCTTGTTTTTATACTCACTATAAAAATAATAGGTCACTTTCTGACCCGATTTCCTATTTACTTAGTTCTTGTTTTTGTTTTTCATTGCTGGGGACTGAACCAGGGCCTTCTACATGCTAGGCAGGTGTTGTACCACTGAGTTACATCCTCAGTCCTTGCTTTTCATTTTAAAACATGATCAGTTTCCAAAGGAAATGAAATTTCCATGGTTATGAAGAAAGTGTAAAAGAGTAAATTACCATATGCTCCCAATTCTTAGAAAAGAAAATGTCATTTGAGGAGGGATTATTGTACTTGCCTTCACCAAATAAATGCATAAATTTAAAATAAGGAACAATAAACTCATTGACTATAAAGCAGCAAGTTTCAGTTAAAAATTATTAATAAAATATTCAATGTTCATTTAAAAAATATGTCAAGGGTATGTCTGGGGTTGTTTGGTTTTATTTTCTTTGATGCTGAGTACTTTGTCATCAGTCCTGGCCTGGAAAAAGAAAGAATATACAATTAAAATGCAGAACTTAAAAAAAACACTTTTGCAAAAAATTGATTTTTAAAATCTTACTTAATGATTTATAAAAGTAAATTTTAAATCTCCTAAAAATTAAACCCTCAACATGACACTTTTTAGAGCAAGCTTTATTAAAACTCAAATTAATTACCTTTTTGCTTTTGTTACAGTCTTCTGTACTCTGCTTGAGTTACCTTTAGAGGGAAGAAATCCCATAATGAAAAGCATGAAATAATCGAAAAAAAAGATAAAACCAACTGATGAAATATACTAAAAACTTCCCTGACACTATATGGTTAACATTTATATATACCAGAAACTAATCTCATAGCATAATTTCTTTGTAATTTACTGGCATTATACTTGATTTTGTTTTTGGACTTTGGCTAGAGTTAGTACTACTAAAAAACAAGCCAAGGAAGCTTCCTGGCAGGGCACAGTGGCTCACGCCTAGAATCCTAACTACTCAGAAGTTAGAGATCTGGAGGATTGTGGTTCAAGGCCAACATGGATAAAAGTTAGTGAGACCCCATCTCAACAAGGCATGGTGGTTTATTCTGTAATTCCAGCTATGAAGGCATAGCTAGGAGGATTGCCTGACCTGGACAAAAAGTGCAGGACCCTCTCTGAAAAATAATCTGTTCTGGTGGCATAGCTCAAATGTTAAGAGTGCCTGCTAGCAAGTGTGAAGTTTGTTCAAACTCCAGTACTACCAAAAATCAAAACAAAACCTAAAAGGCAAAAAGGCTGGAGGCATGGCTTAAGTTGTACTAGCAAGCACAACTGTAGTACTGTCAAAAAACAAATAAAAAAGCTTTCTGGCTATGTAAATATAGTTACTTTGTCACTGTGGCTTGCAAATGTTCTCTGAAGGAACTTTTTATAATTTTTAATTTTTTTTGTTTCATGCCCTAGGCAGAAACTTTACAGCCTGGGCCATGCCTCCAGTCTCATAGATTTCTTTTTTGATTAGTGCATTCAGGTTGGGTTCATTCTGTGAGTTCATTCAAGCTCCAACTAGAGTTTTCCCCAAATTCAAAAGCTTGGTTTAATTCTAAACTATGGTAGGTAATGAATGTTTTCCTACATGGAAGCACACACAACCACCCTTTTAAAAGTATTTGTTTAAGATTGAACAATCTCATTAATCTCAGAAAGAAAATAATATTCTTTTTAATGATGACTAACTCACCAGCACTGCTGGAGTGTCCTCTGGGCTGGCTCACTGGGCTAGCCTCATGGCTCAGCTCTTGGATGATACCTTTATTTAAGCAAACATCCACATGCACGTTGAATAGTGCAAGATCTGCAGTCTTTTGTTCCAGGTGACAAACAGGACAAACGAGAACTTGGCCAGTTGTCACTTCGTATCTACAAGGTTGAAGGGATCCTTGCCCACTTAACAACATTTCATCTTCATTTTCTACTAAACCAAGACAAGAAGACTTGTTTGGGAGATCAGAACACTCCTCTGTGCTGTGCTCATTCCTGAAAGTGCCCACACTTTCTGCATGGGATGAGTTACCTCTGGTCTCTACCAAATCCACATAATCTACTGAAGTCACTCCTGCCTTGTTCTGATGGGCATCATAATCTTGCTTCTCACAAAGTGAAAAGGAGTGATGTGCATTTTCTTTCTGGCTAACTTCAGCAGAGGAAGCACATGAGTAAGAGGACACTTTAGAACTCTCACTGGCTGAAAGTCCATCAAGACATGAATCTACGTGCTTATTAAAGGCCTCCAAACTGATTCTTCCTTGTTCCCTAAAGCAAACTGGACAAGTAAATAACTGACAGTTGTCTGAATAATCTGATATTTCTAGATTCTCATTCATGTTCTTTAAAATGTGGAATGGTTGTGATGTCTGTAAACTTTGTTTATCCACAGTTTCATGTTTGGATTTGTCTTGATGGCTCCATATCCTTTCTGATCGTTTTTTATCAAAGAAACTCTTCTTTTGAGATGTTTCTAAAGGTTTTACAAACTGGTCTTTGTCAATTTTCTCTAGTTCACACCCAGTGGCTGTCAGGGCTTGGTTTCCAGCCTGTAAGAAGCCAACAATGCTCTTCTGTTGGTGCTTCTTGTCTTCTTCACTGTGAAAACTAGACATCCGAACACCTAAATTAAACCAACCACAATGAATCAATTCCAACTACTACGAGTTCAAGTCAACACAAAACTGTTGTCACATCTATACAAAAGGCAGATTAGAGAAAAATAATAAATAATACAGCACTGGGAAATGAGTCCATAGCTTTGCACACACAAACATTCACTCTACCACTGAACTACATCCCCAACCCCATGTTTTCTTTTTTTAATTAACAGTTATTTTTCATACAGTTTATTTTAATAAAAGCAATGCACATACGTAGTTAAAGTATTTAAGAGTAAAACACATACACACAATCCTTAATCTCAGAACCTAAATCCTATTCCTTAAAGATAATAATTAATACTCCCATATTTACATAATGTACTTAAAATTCAACTATTCTACTATTCATACTTTTCTACAACTTGGCTTTTGATTCTTAAAGAATACTTATTTGAAAATTTTCCATGCTGGCATGAAAAATTATGTAACTTTTTCTAGCTACTATGATATAACATCTATGATATAACTTTTTATAACAGTATGAAGAAATACATAGTTCAAAAATTATGTTATTATTACAGATTTCTCAGTATGCATGTATGCACACCTTTCTCTTGTCTGATTTTTCCCTTGGATAAATTCCTGAAATGGAATTCTGGGTCAAAGTCATATGCACATCAAATTTGCATGTATGCATACATTCGCACTCTCCTCTCCCACTGCACTTTTGCCAACATGGGTATGCTGATATTGTAAGCAGGAATTTACTTCCCGCTACAAAACTGTGGATCATTAAATGTTAACAATTTATTGAAGTCGGCATGATTACATAGGACTTTTTTTTTTTTTTTACGTCTGACACACAATACCATTAAGTACAAAGTAATTAACTGGAGTCAACTACACACACTCTTCAGGTTTTTAAAAAATAGACTTCATTACTTTAAAGAGCAGTCATAAGTTTGCACCACCATTGAGCAGAAGGTACAGAGGATTCCCATATATTCTCTGTACCCATTCACACACCACCTCCTGTACTATCAATATTCTGCACCAGAATGGTACATTTGTTATAGCTGATGAACCTACACTGACACAAAGTACCAACCAAATTCTGTGGTTCACATTAGTTTATTCTTGGTGGTGTTGCATGTTCTATGGGCGCAGACAAATTTACAGTGACATTTATTCACCATTACAGAGCCATAAAGAAGGGCTGGCAGAGTGACTCAAGTGGAGGAGCACTTGCCTAGCAAGTGTGAGGTCTTGAGTTTAAACCCCAGAACCACCAAAAAAAAAAAAAATCATAAAAAAAGTTTCACTACCCTAAAAATCCTGTGCTTTACCTAACCTCTCCTCCCTTTCCTCTAGCCCTGGAGAACTACTATCTTTTTATGGACTCCATGGTTTTGCCTTTTCTAGAATACCATGTAGTTTGAGTCATGCAGTATATAGCCTTTTCAGATTGGCTTCGTTCACTTAATATGCATTTATGTTTCCTCCATGTCCTCCCATGATCTGATAGCTCACTTACGTGCTAAGTATGATCTCACCGTACCAGTTTACTTATCCATCCACTGAAGGATATCTTGGTTGCTTCCAAGTTTTGACCATTATGTGTAAAGCTTCTATAGACACTTGCTCTTTGGCTCTTTCAACACACATTATTCAGTTAATGTCAGTGTGTGCTATCTTTCATATATGAAAGTGTGGTTAATGACTAGCTCTTAGCAGTAAAGTGGGCATTTGGAGTGCTTATCCATCTACGTTCTCACTTACAGTGCACTTTGGAAACGTGACTGACAATGTGAGTCCACAGTATCACAGTCCTTTATTCCAAAATTCAAAATTTCTGAAAATTATACCAACAAGTGATAAGTGAAGCAATAAATGAATTAATGTATGGTTACTTAGAGTCTTAACAGACAGTGAATTTTTTTTGTTTTGCTACAGAAATATTAATGTGTTTCATCAACAGGGTGCTGCTCCAGAATCCCAAAGGAGTATTACATAGTACACTTTAATATGCACTAACTTATCGGCTAAAGCCTGACAAATTTTGAATTTTGAAATATACCTTGCCCCAAGGAGTTCAGGTATAATAAGGAAAAGAACAACTTTAATTGGCTCAGATAGAAATTAAACTAATAAGGAGTTATGCTAAAGGGCAGCATCACAGTAAGAACTTCTGACAGAGGTTTAAGAAGCAAAATGGAGGTGAGGATTGGGGTATGGCCCAAGTGGTAGAGCACTTGCCTAGCAAGTGCAAAGCCCTAAGTTCAATTACTAGTACTGAAAAAGAAACAAAAAGGGAGCGAGAGCAAGCCAGAGAGAGCAAGAGAGAAATGAAATGGAGGTGAGAATATTTCCAAAGTTGATTTTTTGGGAGAATCTAAAAGAATTAAGGAAAAAAACAAGAAAAAAGGTCATACCCATAAGTCTTAATCTCAAGGGATGTGGAAAATCAGAATTAATTTCCGTTCTTAACAACTCTTTAGCAATGGCAAATATTTCTTCTGCAGTAGAAACAACGGATGAAACTGTACTTGCCCGAGTTTTTACTTCAAAATTCACATTTTTCAGCTTAAGGGTAACAGTTCTACCCTGTGACATGGAGAGCACATTATTATAAAAGGCTTTGCAACTTCTAGAAAAAAAAATTACAGGTTAGAAAAATTCAGAAAGATCTTTACGTACACATGTGAAAATGGAAGTATAATTAATTTTTTAATAAAAATGGCAACGAAAACTATTACAAAGAATAATTAAAATCTGTAAGTAATCTTAAAAAATCCCTTTTGGCCCATAATTATTATTCCCTTCTCCCAAACCAAATTTTTATAAAATATCTTTATATAAAGTGTAAAGTTAATTGATCAGATTTTTCTTTTTACTAAATCTCTCTGAGAGGTTAATTCAGGTCCTAAACAAGCAGGAGGTGCCTCATTGAAAAGGTCTTATGGGCTGCTCACACTTCATGTGTGTTATGTCATGCCATACACTGTACTACACAACTACACAGCTTCTTCACGCTTCTTCAGGGACGGGGGAGTTTCGGTTGCAGGATGAGGAACGGTTCTGGAGAGGGACGGTGGTGACTGCTTCAAAGTAATGTTTGTGTCCTTAGTGCCGCTGGACTGAACACTTTCAAATGGCTAAAATGGTCAATTTTACATTGTATATGTTTTAGTATCTCCTGCAGGTGGAACTTCATTCCTGCCCTCCTTCATTTGAGGGTAAGTTATACTCACTGACTCATTTAGTAGAGAACCCTAACAAATACTACCTTAACCAAGTGATAAAGGTAAACATCACCCATGATGTCATGAAGCCGTCACATACTACCTGACAGGATATGATGAGAAGGGCACTTCACTTTTTGATAGTCTTTCTAAAATCCTGTTACCCTGGGTCTAACCATGAGAAAACTAAGGGACATTCTGCAGGATATCTAGCCAAAAGTCCTCAAGACTGCCAAAGTCATAAGAAAGAAGGAAAGACTAAGAAACTGTCACAGACCAGAGGAGACTAGGGAGACAAGACAGCTAAATACAATGTAGTTCCCGTGACTACCTAGAGAGGTGATTAATAGAAAAACAAGTGAAATCCAAATGAAGTCTCAAATTTAGTAATATGCTAATGTCACTTTTAGTTTTGACAAATGCACTACTGTAATATGTTAATAATTAAGGAAACTGGGGGAGAGGTACAACAGAAATCTCTATATTCTTTTCTATAAATCTAAATGATTCTAAAATTAAAAATTTTAGATACCTATATTTTTTTCTGGTGGCACTGGGGTTTGAACTCAGGACCTCACGCTTGCTAGGTAGGTGCTCCATCACTTGAGCCACTCTGCCAGTCCCTTTTTGTGATAGGTTTTTTTCAAAATAAGATCTAGAAAACTATTTGCCTGGGCTGGCTCCCAACCATAATCTTCCCAATCTCTGCCTACTGAGTAGCTAGGATTATAGGTTTGAGGCACAGTGCCTGGCTTACACTCTTTTTTAAAAAAGAACTTTCTTTGTACTCAAGGGATGATTGAGAAGGATTATAAGAAAGATGTTCACATACTCTATTTACTACTACTACTACTACTAAAATTAACTTTTTAATGGCAGAGTCTCAGTACATAGCCCAAGTGGGCCTCAAACATGCTCTGCAGTCAAGGCTAGCCTTGAACTCATGATCTTCCTACCTCAGCCCCCTAGGGCTGGGATTACAGGTGTCTACCAACACACCTGGCTATAATAATAACTTCTTAATGCTTTTATATTACTCTTTGTAATAACTCCAACACTGGTTTGAAAGTTCTGGGAAAATACTAACCATGGACTGCTGTGAGGGAGGATTATAAAACAGAAAGTTCAGAGGATTCCAGGCTTTTGTTCTCAATGTGTTAAGCAACCTGGATTAAAGCCTTGAAACAAAATGCCTGTTTTAAAAGGTCATCGTCTACGTGAGAAAAATATTCAAGGATGATTGGAAAGGCATTAATAATATGTGAATACAGTTTTAGGGAAATCCTTTCCTTTGCCCTTTTCTCTAATGCCAACAAAGTCTGAGTTAGCACTTAATTAAAAAAATTTTAAAAATTCAAAAGTACTCCTGAGGCAATATAAAATCGCTGGTAATTATTTTGGAACCATTTCAGCTTTCTCATACAAAGATCTCATCACAGACCTCAGATATGGGTGGGAATGAAATTTGTTTTTTATCAGTGAGGGCAGGAATACTGCGCTTTAACATTTGCTACTTTGTATTCAGTTTTAAGAAATGTGTAATCTAACACTTACTTTGAAGTAGTATTTTATTATTGAAATTTTAAAAACTACAAACACCACATCAAAACAAAGTACCTTAAGTCCTTCTTTCTGGAGATCTTGAGCGAGTTCACTGCAAAGTTCTTGGCACAAACTGTATTGTTTTTCTGCTTTACTTATCTCACTGAATGTCCTGGAGAGACAAGAATGATTTTGGTTCCCAAAGAAGCTACAATTCAGAATAACTTGAGAATGAGATCATATCTTAAAATGGCCTAGCATTACATTATATTTTCCCAGCACAAAATAAAGTTTTCAGATAAAGATATAATTAAATAAAAAACATTTACAGTCTATACGAATAATGGAAAACCATTCAGACAGGTAAAGTGATCAGAGCGAAAGAGAAATGTTATGCTCCTGCTCTCTCTACAATATTTTTTTAAAAGGATGATTAAAGTCACCAACAGATGGTGATAATGTCCCCAGAACTCTTAATACTTTAAGGTGTATGTGAACATGGATTCTGCCATAGAAGATTATCTTAAGAAAGTACAATGAGGGGTGAGTGGAGTGGCTCAAGTGGTAGAGCAGCTGACTAGTAAGTACAAGGCCCTGAGTTCAAACTTCAGCACAATAAAAAAAAAAAGTGAGGTTGAGAATGCCATTCTAATTATTACACATGAATTTAAATTTTCTGGACAGAAATATTTTAAAGTTGGTTCAGGGGTTGGTTCATGGTACCCAGGCAGGGTTGTCTAGTAAACAATTGGAAATGGATAATTGGTAAGAATAAATGTAGAAAGTCTGAATTCATCTTCAAAAGAATGTTGAAAGAAATTGAGAGATGAGATTAATCTAAAAGAGGAAGGGAAAGGGACAGCAGAGTGATGAATATAAATCCTGAACCAATGAGCTCCCTCCTAACCCTATTCTGCTACTCATTCTCCCAGTGGCAACTGATCTTGCCAGCTTCTTATCAATACAAATTCCTCCAGAAATATTGCACAGTGCTATGGTTTGGATGAGTGTGTCTCCCAAGGGCTTGAATGCTGAAACTTACTCCAGTGTAAGGTATTAGAAGGGTGGAAACAGTCCTGACAGGGGCACTTAAGAGGTAGAGCCTTAGGGAGGCAATTAGAATCAGAGGAGCTCATCAGGGCGGAGCTTCCATGATTGGAGACTGATGGCTTTATCAGGAGAGGGACAGAGCCCAGGAGAGACACACACATACATGCTCTGCCTCTTATCATTTGATTCCCACACTGCACTGGGGCAGGAGGAAGGCCATTAGATATGGGTTCACACCCTTGAACCTCTAGGATAAATGAACCCCTTTTCTTCATAAAGTTATCCACCTCCAGGTATTTTGCTACAGTAATGAAATGGGCTAATACACACATATAAAACCAAATAAGCAAACATTTTTCATACACAAACAGTAAAATATTAAATATTGTTTTAGCACATTCTTTTCTCAATTTATCTTGGTGAGTGTTCTGAATGAAAAAATAATTTCCTCATTTTATATGGCAGCACAATATTCTAATTTCTAGACATGTCACATAACTAATCCACAATTCATAGTTATTTTCAATCTTTTGTTAGCATAAAATGCAATAAATTTGATCACTTGTATATATGAAAAATGACATTATTACATCTGTGGAATGAATTCCTGGAAAAACAATGAAAGGGTTTTGATAGATACTGTTAAGTTCTTTGCCCACTGTCGCAGGCCACGTATGGCCCTCTAAAGATGCATCCATCCTAACCCTGGAGATCTGTGACTCTAGTGCCTTCCAGAGCGAGAGGGGCTTGACAGATATGAATAAGTTATGATGGGTGATTATTCTTGAGTATCCAGGTGTGCCTAATGGAATCCCAAGGCTCCTTATAAGAAGAAGGCAAGAGGGTCAAAGTTAGAGAAAGAGAAGTTGCTGGGTCTATGAGCAAGGAATACAGGCAGTCTCCACAAGCCTTTGGCAAAGAAATTAATTCTTCCCTAGAGCTTCTAGAAGGGATGCAGCCCAGCCAACAACTTAAATTTAAGACTTCTGACTTCAGAATGGAAAGAGAATAAATTTGTGTTATTTTCAGCCACTAAATTTGTATAATTTATTGTAATAGCAGGAAGGAACCAATACCCCTCCTTTGGAGTTTATAACTTTTCACTCCCATTGTCTTGCCAATAGAGTATGTCAGAGTGTCTTTGCCAAACCTAATCAATGAATAATGCTGTCTCAGAGAACTTTTTTTGACAGGACTAAGGTTTGAACTCAGGGCTTCAATGCTTGCTTCCACTGCTTGAGCCACACTTTCAGTCCATTTTGCTCTGGTTATTTTGGAGATGGGGTCTTGCAATCTATTTGCCTGGGCTGGCCTCAAACTGTGACCCTCCTGATCTCAGCCTCCCGAGTAGCTAGGATTACAGGCATGAGTTACTGGCACACTTGAGAACGTTTGATATATTTTTCTTTAATTATACATGAAAATATTTTCTTGTACTTTAAGAGCAATTTTTATTTTCATTAATTAGAACTTTGTTCATTTATTCTATTGGTATTTTGACACTTTCTTACCAATTATAAGAGTTCTTTACATATTAGAGAAATTAGCTCTTTGTGTGTGAATGTGAAGTACAACCTCTCTCCCCCAATCCCATGCCAGATTTGATGTCCTAATGCAATTTTTTAAAAAGCTAATGAGAGAGTGTTCAGAAAAAAAGGTTGAGACTATATGCCTGCATATCAAGTAGTGTTCTCAATAACAAAAGACAGAATGGAAGACAAGTTCATTGAATTGTACAGTACTATCTCACTTTGAAAGATTATTTTTCTGTCTTTCTGTTTCATTGCTTTTACACAAATCATATCGTAAAACAGCAATTATATATTTACAGTGCTGGGGATGGAACTCAAGGCCTTGAGCACAGTGGGCAAGTATTCTACCACTGAGCTACATCCCAGCACTAAACAGCAACTTTAAATTATTTATTTGTCTATCTCTCTATCTATCTCTCTACCATACTGGGGAATGAAATCAGGGCTTTGCACATTCTAGGTAAATGGTTTACCACTTGAGCCACGGCCCCAGCAATTTTTATCAAAGCCTGTGTTGTTGTGAAGATCAGCTCTTCAGGTCACAGACAATGAATGTGAAACATGAACACAATCTTCTACTAGGTCAGTGGTTCTTAAATGTCTCAGTGGAACTTTGCTGCTTTGAGTAAATCATTGAGGGATGATTTCAAAAAGTGACACTTTTCAAAAAGTGACAAACTCCCTCCCAAAGTTCCATCGAAATTTCATCTAACCTCCAAACAAGATCATAAGTCCACTAAATGAGATCATCTTTAAGGTCTCCTTCACCAAATATTTTATGTTTTACTATAGGTTGAGGATCTTTTATCCAAAATGCTTAAGAGAAGAAGATGGATTGGGATGTCAAATTTTTTTGAATTTTGAAAAATTTACATATATATAATGAGATTTCTTGGGGATAGTACCCAAGTCTAAACATGAGCTTCATTTGTGTTTTATAGACATCTTGTATACATAATCTGAAGGCACATTTATACAATATTTTTAGTGTGTGTTTTGATTGCAACCCATCATGTAAAATCAGGTGAGGAATTTTTCCCTTGTGGCAGTGTGTTGATACTCAGAAAGTTTTTGATTTGGAGCATTTCTGACTTGAGAGTTTCAGATTAGACATGCTCAACCTGTACTTGATGCCCTGCTCATTCAACCAATATTTACAGAGTTTCAAGAAGAATTCTCATTGTCAAGTTTCCCAACTAAACACTCAATTGTTCTTAAGACTAGAAATTAAGATTTGGAATCCTAAAATGCTTAGTTTTCAGTGGAGAGAGTAAAACCAACATTTAAAAATAAACTGCAGTTAAACTTTTTCCCAACTAAAGGCAAATAAGCAGTGCACTGAGGCGCTATTTCAGGACTGTGAACTGCTGACGACTGTCATTGTGATTTATAAAATTTTTAATTTCAGTGATATCTTTCTAAAACTTCATTTAAAAAACATCATTTATGAGTAATTAACAAGAGTAAATAACAAAAATAATTAAAACATTACCTCTCAACGCTCATACTTTTCCTTTCTCCATCCCTTGAAATGAAAAATAAAAAAACTCTTTATTTCTTTCTCAAAGATGACCAAGTTCCTTGCGGTTAACCAAGAGAATTTAACATATCAATTACCCCTTAGATATCTCAATTTTTATTTTTTCTTTTTAAGTGCAGGGATTACAGGTATGCACCACCACACCCAGCTTAGATATCTCAATGTCTAAATTAAAATTCATATATTCTGAAACATAGTGGGGTCATTTTTTTAAATCTAAAAATGAAACCATCACTAAAAACATAGACACATAAGATACTAATATCATTACATGTGTCATGGGTAAAGTCCACATCTATTGAAGAAAATCTACAACTTATAAAAGCCAATAGGAGGTAGTAGTATAACAGTTTGTGGTTATGATTCTGTTTTAAATAATTTAATATGTTATCTAGTTTTTAGGCTAGTGCATAACTTCCCTCATCTATAAGCCTATTCAGTCTTCATTTATCCATTCTATAAAACCTTAGTCAGAGCTTGAGACACATCAACAGAATGATGATTGGGAATCCAAATCAACAAATTTGGCTAGAGTCTAGCTGCTCTGGTAGGAGTAATTGAAACCAAAAAGGTGAGATGAATGTTTTATTCATTTTCCAAATACTTATTGAACATATTATGTTCTAGAATCTGGGGCTACAGTAATGAATAAAAGAAATAAACTGCTTGCAATAAGAAACTTACATCTCAATGGAAGGAAACAGACAAGCACATATAGAATAAATGTGGGGGTTGAAGACATAGCCCAGCGGTATAAAATATGCACAAGGTCCTGGTTCAATCCCCAGCACCACAAAAAAAGAAATAAGTAAGGGAAAAAGTACTTAGATTACAAAACAAAGTAATGCTAGGTGCAGTGGCTCACCTATGTAATCCTAACTACTTGGAAGACAGATATCAGGGAGGGTCATGATTCAAGGCCAGCCCAGGCAAAAAGTTTGCAAGAACCTACTCCAACCAATAAAAAGCTGGGCATGGTGGTACACAGCTGTCATTCCAGCTGGGCAGGAAGCATAAATAGGATGGCAGTCCAGGCTGGCTCCAGCATAAACATGAAACCTTATCTCAAAAATAACCAAAACAAAAAGAGATAGGGGTGTGGCTCAAGTATTAGAGCTCCTGCCTGCCAAAAATCCACCCCAAAAAACCCTGGGTATGGTGGCTTATGTCTAAATTAAATTAGCCTTCAAGAAGTTTAAAGCATGTTTGTTGTCTTTATAATTTCCATCTGAATAGTTAGAACTCACATGTCAGCAAGAGAAAGCAGAATGACTGTATATACAGATACCTTGCCAGGTCTGTTGAACCTAGACCTAGGGCGATATGAAGGAAATAATGCCAAGATGTTTCAGAGAAAAGAAGAGAAAGCAATGCTCTCTGTTGGTAGAGTTCTGTGCAGGTAGAAATTCCAAGGGCCTTTAACATTTTCTCTGTAACTTTTCCTACTCCAGAAACCTAGAAGGGAAACAATATTTATAATAAATTTTTAGATTAAAGTCAGAACTGAGATTACAAATTTTTTCACATATGGTGCTATGGATTGAACCCAGGGTCTTGTATATAGTAGGTAAGTGCTCTACTACTGTACTACATCCACAGTCTGAGGCTATATCCCTTTTACAGTCAATAAAAGGTATGAATAATGTGACTATCTTCATGAGTTATTTAAGGAAACTGCTTTTGTGACTTTTTGGTCATATTTCCTAAATTAGCATTCCACAGAATTTTTAAAGGCATCTATAGTTCTATCAACTTTGGGAATGAGATAAAAATTTTAAATGGAACTTTGTGCTGTAAGATTAACAATTTTTTTTTATATACTAGTATATACATAGTGGCCACTCCAAATTTATTTGACACCAGAACTTTTTTTAATGGAATGGTTATCATTGGAAAACATTTGAGAAGACACTACACAGCTATATCTTACATTTATTACCCAGCGATCATTGTATACTTTGACAGTCTTCTTTCTGAGCATCGAAAATACTTTATTTAAATCCATTCATCTATATCATGCTAAGTGATAAAAGCAGTCCTAGAAAATCATATAGCATATACTACATTTATTGTTTTAAAAAGAATATATACTAAAGCTCTAAATAAAATATTTACTCTTTTTTGAATCTGTGAGGGATAATACCATTCCGAAGACGGCAAACTATTTTGGTTTATTTTTTGTCAAAAACAAAATTCCAAATCTCTTTCAAGTATTGTACCTATTAATCTGGTAGCAACGTGAACCTGAGAACTAAGATATCTTAAGTTACATTTCAAAGGACTCTTTCAAGGATTTGTTTTATTTCCTTTCTCCTTGGCACACTTAAATGTCTCACATTTATTTTCTTTAAACTTTCCTGAAAATAAGCCTCTTAGACTTAACATTTTTTAGGGTTTCACAGAAAGACTCCTTCAAGTCCATATTCAACTACTCATTATCATTTTTGCCTGTTACCTATTGTTTTATTTCTCAGCAAAAAACAATTACTGCTAGTCTATGCTGTCTTTTTTCTGACTATATATATCTATATACTGGGGTTTTGAACTCAGGGCCTCACACTTGCTAGGCAGGCACTCTACTACTGCTAGTCTAAATAGCATGTCTTCAAAATTCAGAGCACATACACACATGACAAATTTTATATAAAAATCTCACCTTTCTAATAGGTAAGTCCTTGATGAAGTCCATCACTGCTTGTCTGATGGGGAGAATTTGGTATTGTCCATTTGGTTTATTCTTATCACTACATATTTTTGCTAACATTGTATTGGGGGCAATGCCTTAAAAGAAGAACATTCCAGTGACTCAAAGAAGTTGATATGTATAGTTTTTAATTATGTGATGACAAAACACACAAAAATATTAAGTGCAAGTAATTTTAAATGATACATAATGCTACATTAAAAGTAACATTTGGTTAACGTTATCTCCCTAGGGCTTGCTATGGTTTTAGGGAAAGAAATCATATTAGTTGTTATGGCAGGAGAAATGAGAAATATCTAATTCTCATCATATTTTAAAATCTAAGAGTAATTTCTGAGCTGAATAATATAAAGTTTTATTAGTTTCATAACCTTTAGTAAGAAAACAAAGTTGTTTTATAGTGGCTCCGTATCTACTCAGAAAAGATCCAGAAAATAATTTAGGACGGATGTTTACTCTGAAAAATTTTTTTTGTATAAATTTTCAATACAAAGAAAATAATTGAAGATTCTGGGTTGCATAATGATAATGAAAATTTTCAATCTTTTTTGTTACTCACTAAGCAAATTATTACTTTTCAGAAAGGTATTTTATAATTTCTAGTTGTTTTAATAATTAAGGCAATTTACAATAGGTATATGCAAAATGTTCATTTTGATTTTTACATACATATTCCTAAAATGGATTATTCTTTCTCATGTTTTGATATAGGAAAGATTAACTAATCATAAGATAGCTTTTACAAGATAATTCAGGGGCCTCATGATGAGGATACAGTGAGGCTCTTATGGGTTACTGACATATATAAAGCTGGTTTTTCTTTACCAGATGGTCCTAAATTGCTATCCTGCTAGATGGTGGGTTTTGTTTGTTTGTTTTTTCTCGTCTCCCATCTTGATGAATTCTGCTGGATTCTCTTCCTGCAAAGTAATCTAGGAAAGGACTAAAGTCTTCCAAGGAAAAACTAATCAAGTATTATGTGCACAACCAATTATAAAATATATTTTGTACTTACAAAAGGACAGCTACATGAGATGTATGGTAGTTTTTTCTTTGAGCCCATAGGGGTTTCTGCTTAATTTCAACTTACCTATAGGTTCACTGTTATTCTCAATAGGTAAAGGTGCTAGAAGTCAAACGAACTAATGGATAAGTAAAATATAATTATATAATTTATAATGAAAAACTTGAATATTATACTTGATTTACTCAGTCTGAAAATTATACCCACAGTGGCCATTAATATCCTTTTAAATACCTGCACTGGCTGTCAGTGCTGTTTTTTGCTCAATTCTGAAACGAATTTCCTTTACCACTTCCTCAGCTGATGTTCCAAAAACAATGGAATTTTGAAGTATTTGAGAATTGTTTTGTTCTTCAAAGTTTGCTTGGAAAGAATTCCCTGGCGGCTGCAAATCAGGAGGACTATCTTCAAAAAGCAGTGGAGAGATGGACCGCCCATGCTCGCTGAGTTTATTAACTTCCTTTCCACATCTGTCTAAATTACAAATAGGAACAGTAACTCATCTTCAAGTTTAAGAAATACATACTTCATAAGTTAGGCTTCCCTCTGTTGTTTCTTTTCTCTTTTCTTTCCTACCTAAAATTATTCTATGTTAAGCTCATTAACTTTTGAAACCTATTATTTTTTTTTCTTTAAAAAAGGAAATATTTTTTCCCTTTGCTCTTCTCTAAGGAGAAAAAGACTTCTTAAATTTCTTTATTTGTGGAAGAAGCTTTTCAAATGTTAAAATAATCTGAATTTTCTTCTCTTAAATGCTGATTTTAATATTGACTTGCTTGTTATGAAGTACCACTTTCACTAAGGGCACATTTGGAACAAATAGAAATTACCACCTAAAGTTATACTTCTTCATATAAACTCTTGGACTCTGACCCATGCAAAGCAAATGACTCATTTTATTATCAATAGGCTGTAAACTATTATTATTAAGAAGTAAAAATACCAATTGGTTATTGCCTCATTTTATTTGCATTTTTCAAAAATAGACTATAAAACACACTTAAATCTACATTGACCCTAAAAATGTTCTTGTGAACAAATATATTGAAGACTTTTCTGGGCTTTACACAGAAGAAATACAATTTTAAATGTATTTATAATAACTAAGATTTTTCTGCTCCTATTTTGTAATTTTATTACATATAAACATTTTCCAAATTAAGAGAAATGCATAAGAAAAAACTAAATTTGTTAAATTAAGTTTCAAGACACATATAAAGGTATATTACTTAAAAAATGAGCTTGTTCTCTTAGGAAACTGTTCTAAAGATAACATAAATAATATGATAAGCACCTGATTAGTTTTGAATTTTAATTATATCATATAAATTAAACTACAGATAGATGTTTTCCAAATCTGCATTCTCAAACCACATACACAATAAACCTTATTTTCAAACTTACTTTAGCTATTACTTAGGACCTTTGGTTCCTTTTCATTTTTCATATTATAATTTTAAAATTCAGAGCAAGTTAGAGGGCGGTAATAGTGAAGAACAGCCGAGATGGTATTTATCTAGAGCCCTTTCCCCTAATTTGATGGACAGAAGTCAAAGCAAAGAAGCCGAAGAGAAACTCACACCAGGGAACCCGTTACATTAACCCTCCCTGCAGCGTTCTTTCTGCCCTCATTTGTGCCTGTGCCTCTCCCATCCTGCCCTCAGGCTGGCTCCTGACAGCAGCTACAGGAGGAAGCAAAGAACGCTGCCTCCTGCTGCCTTATTACAGCAGCTGCGGATGGTGCAGCCACCTCTGCAACCCAAACTACACCTTGCTTCTGTGGAGACTGGCTGTGCAACAAACCACTGGAGTGGTTTCTTATTTACTTCCTGAGAAGTAATTACTATGGTAATTAGAGTACAATACTAGGCTTAAAGCCTTCCATTCACACTGCAAGTGCTAAAACGGGAGTGGCATTTCAGTTTCTTACACAGTCCGACAGGAATCCAGATTTATATGTCAGAGTAAGAATAAATAACAATCATTACCTTATTTATAAATAAAGACAATAGTTAGCAATATATATTTCTAGAGACAAGCACCTTTTATGAAAGGGGCAAACTTTAGAGGAAGCAGTGGCTCAAGTGGTAAGAGCACCTACCTAGCAAGCATGAGGCCCTGAGTTCAAACCCCAGAGCTGTCAAAAAAAAAAAAAAAAGAGGAAGATATATCAGTCATTTCTAACACATTGTAAATGCGAGATTTGTATGCCTAAAAGTCCAGCCCATAGGGATCTGTATCTGAGAAAAAAATGCAAACTATTTCAATTGGCTAAGAATATGAAATACAGGGCTGGGGGCATAGCTGAAGTGGTAGAGTGCTTGCGAAGCACGCACGAAGCCCTGAGTTAAACCCTCAGCACAAGGGAGGGAGGAAGAAATACATAAGGAGGACATACAGATAAGCTAAAAGCAATAGATACTCTGAAATCATATCTTCATAGTGAGTTTAGACATATAATAAATGAAAAGGATATAAATAGAGAACAAAAACATTTACCCTAATCTCAATGTAATTTTCTTAATTTAACATTTTTATTGGCATATATTAGTTATCAGGGGGATTTCATTGTGACATTTCCATACATGCTTACAATGTACATTTGTTAGGTTCACTGCCACCATCACTTTCCCTCATCCCCCCACAAAACCAATTTCAACAGGTTTCATTGTTCTATTTTTATATAAGTATATGAAGTACATTGACCATATTTACCTTCCTTTACCCTCGCCTTTCGCCCTCCCCCTTCCACTAGTACCCAGTCTTTAATAGGACCTGTCTTTCATTTTTAAGTGCACATTCATTGTTCAAAGGGATTTCATCATAGTATTTCACCAGTGAATATATTGTACTTTATTAATCAGATTAATCCTCTTTATTACTATCCTTTACCCTTGCCCCCATCCCCTATTATTCAACAGCTTTCAGTGCATTTCATTATGCCATCTTCCTATACAGATGCAATGTATTTTGATGTAGTTCACTTGCTATCATTCTCTTTTCTACTCCCTTCTCTTCCTAAAATATAGAGTAAAATTAATTGTAACAGAAGACCCTCGGGATGCTTTGACATAATCATTTAATGACTTCCCCCTCTTCTCTTCTGAAAAATAAGGAAGGAACAAAGTAAGATTTTTAAGCAAAGTGACATGCCAAATCCCCAAACAGTAAGGTTATACAAGAATGGAATCTTTTGTCCAACTCTCTGTGTCCAAAAATTATTATTATTGTTTAAGGTTTCTATTAAAGAAAAGAGATACTCCTTAGGGCTTTAAACAAGGTAATGAAATTGTGGTTCAAAGTCTGTATTAACTTGATCCAAACCATGTGAGAGACAGAACTTAATGCCACTGCATAGCCACCATTTTGCTTCAACAAAAGTTACCAAAGGTTTCTCCACCACTGCCTGCCCCTCAACCCCACCCAGGAAGTAGTCAGTTAGTTATGGCTGTGGTTTAGGAGCAAACTCCTTTAGTTCACCTTTTCACTCAAGTGAACTTTGCTCAGGGGTTCAGCACAGCTCAGACATTTGAAGTAATTATATCTTTGGCAAAGAGTTGGATGGCATACATGTAGTATCTGCATGTTTCTTGGGATTACTTTGGGATTGTTTGGAAAACATATGGAGTAATGACTGTATATAAAACTTCTGTTTCATGACTTTAGGTAAAAGAGTCATAGGAAGATCTAAGGCAAAGACAGAGGAAGTCATTAATTTTGGCAGGTTGAAAACAGACATAATTGCTACAATTGCTATACTAGAACTAGGTTATAGAAAACTTGGAAAATGAAGCACAATAAAATCATCTAATGTTTTGATAGGTTTGAGGCTTAATCTTTTTAAAAAATCTTATTTCTATCAACAACAACAAAAAGCCACCTTAAACAGATAACATCCTCAGTTTCAATGCAATCTAAACCCTTTGATAGTTAGATCTTAAGAAAATAACTGCTAGGATACAATTTTGTTTAGGAACTCTGTAGACTCAAGTCTGAAGATTTTACAATCTCATTTGGTTTAAAAGTGATATGACACATTTAACTTAAAAAATGGTATGTTTTAAAGTTTTTGATTTTTCATTTTTATAAAGATATATCTAGTCCTACCACTTTGGCATACTAATGAGTTAATTGGTTTAATTCAAAGGATTGTTTTCTGTTTGTTTTTAGTTTGATAGTTCTAATAAACTGCTTACCATGTTCTACAGAGTTTCCTGATTTGATAAAATATCTTCTTTTGTCCTCAGGCCAGTCTTGTCTTTCCTGTAAGTGCTTTGTTATATTCAAGTAGGCTTCATCAAGACTCATGGCCATAAAATTAGGATCATATTCAGCAAGTATTTCCTTAACCTTCAAAAAGAACAAAAAGGTTTAAATTTTTCTGCCACAGCAAAACCTCCTGTCTTATACAGCTTATAAGAAGCATTAATATTCTTTTCAACTATAGTAATGATCCTGCAATCAATAGCTTACGCATTTAAGGAATAAATAATTTACTATCAGTGCATATTTGTCAAACTTTCTTTTGTATTAAAATAGATCATGAAGGCAGAAGACCATGAAATAGTTTCATCTGATGCAATTTCTATTCTATATCTAGAAACAGTAAGTGATTCAAATAAATTTCAGACAACATCATTCTGGGAGGCACAGGAAAAAAATGATTAAGGTTTAAGGCACTAGTCAAAAGGAGAAGTAGGAATGGTAGGATTCTACTCCACATCTTTTATGATTATTTTTGTTCATTTAAAATAGGAATAATCTTAGATAAACTTCTATGTTGCTTTAGAAAGCAGTTATTTTTAAATTAATTATAACATGCAGATAAAACTCCACTTAAAACACACATTAATGCATGAATACATACAAGAACATGAAGCTCTATATTTATTGTAATCTGGATTGAAAAAGATGGCAAAATATCTGTAGTATAATTCTACAGTTACATTAAATGATGGAGAAGTCTGGATCTGCACTATGGGCTAAAAGAAATACATGCAGAGATTAAAATTATAGTTGATGTAATCCAGAAGTGGCTTTTATATAAGAGTTTTATTACATGAAACTATGGAGGTTTTTGGTACTTTTTTTAATTACCAAAGTCTTAGCAGTAATAAGAGGAAATAGTTGCCAAAATAATACATATATAAGAAAATGTATTTCCTGAATCATATTATATGTCATCTAGCATTTAAAACCTAACTACTATATCAGACAAAAACCTTTAGAAAGTGTGTTTGCTGAATTATGCTATACTTTTATCTATCTTACTAGGTGTATTTCTATCATGAGAAAATCTTTTGTTGTTTTATAAAAAGAAAGCATTTTAGCTTCACATAATTATGAACAGCTGAGTCACAGAGAATTTGGAAAATGGCGATATAAAACTTGGCATAGTTTTACTCAGAGAGTGCCTTAAATAGCTTTGTTCTTTTAGAAGAAACCATTTCTATAATATACCTAAATAGAATCTTTCTAGTGAAAATGAAACTCTGGAAAGTCTGTAGCTGGCAGCCAACGAAGATTCTGAATGAGAAGTACTCCCTAGAGACACTGTTGAGTACTTACTAACTTCCTCTATATAGTATATTGCTATAGGAATGAAAATAGACATGTTCCAGTAAAACTCAAGCATTTAAAGCTCCAAGAACAGCTAAAGTTATTCTAATATTTTGGAAAAAAGAAAAATGGATATTCCTTAAGCTTTCTAACCAAGCCAGAAATATTAATGTTTATAATTCATTTACATTTAAGAACCCATTTGCTTCCTACAAATTCACTAGATAGATCTAGTTCAAATATTAGTATTTTTCAACTTATGTAAATAAGCAGACTAATGACAATTAAAACAATTTAGTTCTCATTATTATATTGTCAAAAGCTTTACTGAGTCCAAGAAGGACTTAAAATGCTTTCTTACAAGGTTTTTGTAGGATGTTTTACTTACAAAAGCCTCTATTTATGGTTAGAATTTTATTTCTTTTTAATTGGGACTATAGTAAAAGAGATGAACAATTGCCAAATGTGAGTGTGTTCCCCCAACATTTTCAGAAGTAGACACAAAACACTTACTTCAACAGAGTGCTTTTAAAAGAATATGATTATTTTAAAATTCGGGGTAGGGTGGTGTTATACTCTAGCAGTCTAAAAGTAATAGAGACATAGCACTCTAAAATTTTAATTTGAGAATTAAGTCCCAGCACTGCATGGTGCCAGTTGTCATAAAAAAATAGAGAACATAGCAGTTTTTTGCATGACACAGACTGAAATTTTAGTAATAATCAAATCATTACACTTCAGAGATTCCTTTCAAAGCAATGGATTATCCCCTTTTCTCTTTGGATTTAATGTCTTTTGGGCATTAAAAGCTCAAGCATCTTTACAGGATCGTGAAGCAAAGAATGGAACTAATCAAGTTGAGTAAATTTTGTCACTTTAAAACTATTGATAGCGCATGATGATTCATGTCTGTAGTCCCAGCAACTTGACAGGTGGAAGGAAGATTCTAAGTTTGAGAGTAGCCTGGACCATATAGCAAGACCCTGTCTGAAAAAACCAAAATAAAACATTGATAAAAAATTTACTCAAAATAGATTGAAAGTAATGATCAGTAGATTCTGTAAATTGTAAACATAAGGTAGTTCTAAAAGAAAATGTATTTTTGCATATTAAGAAAAAATAGATAAAATTAACTTTATGCTATAATTAAGAAATGAGTTTTCTAGACAGATGAAAAATACATGGAAAGGTAAAGAACTAGGAAACAGAATGGTGTATTCTGGGTACAACAGCTCAGTACTCAATATAAACTCTGAAGAAGTGGTTGAAAGTGAGACTACAGGAATAAGCTAAGACCAAATCCTGATGTTCTAAAGCATTTGTTGTAGGTGGCAGGAAACCAGTGAAAGAATGTAAGTAGAGGTGAGGCATCAACTTACCTCTTTACTCACAGCTCTATATTTGTCAAAGTTTGGGGCACTATAATAAGTTGTGGGCAGAGTCTCTTAGCAATAAATCCTGGCATGGCAGCACGAACACCAAATCTTCTTGCATGGTAATTTGAAGTAGACTGAAAGAAAATTGACCACATCGGGGAAAAAAGAAACAAAACCAAATGGACATACTGATCAATGCATTCATAAGAAACACATTACTGATGTGCATTTTCAGTTCAAGGGCATTCTTTTATAGTTGTCTTGAACCACATTTTGACTTTATCCTGTCATGGTTTTATGACATCATATCCCTGTCTCATTGCCGTTCTTGTATTTATAATCTGATACCAGGTAATAAGTAAGGCTGTGCTAATAAAAACTTCTTTGAAGCTATGCATGGAGGCTATGGCAGGAACACTGCCAGTTCAAAGTTTGAGACCAGCCTGAGCTACATAGCAAGACCTTCTCTCAGAATTATTTTTAAATATTTCCAGTAACTAAACTTCATTGGTCTTAAGATATACCTGTAATATAATATATATCAAAGTACAGATGATGTTATATGAATGTCAAAGTATAATAAATAGTAGAGAATAGTTATAAACTAGAGTACCAACAGTATAAATGTTCCAAAAAAGTAATTGTAAAGAAAGTAATAGTAGAGTATGATACAGGATGAATACCCCTTATCCAAAATATTTAGGACCAATTCAGAGTTTGGAGTTTTTCAGATTTTGGAATATTTGCATGGATTTTAACAGTTAAGAATCTTAGATCTGGAAGTGTGAAATCCAAAATCCAGTTTCTGAGCCATGAAGTTTGGATTTCTGGGATTAGGGATGCTCAACCTGTAGCATACTTTTAGAATTTGCCCTATTTAGAATTTTGGAAAATTTTAACCTAGAACAAAAAAAAAAAAAAAAAAATCAAAGGCCTAATACCTACCTGGTCAGAAAAATTAAGTTTTTAAAACAAAGTGATAAAAGTTTAAAAAGAAATTAAGTTTTATTTCCTAAAGCTTGAATATGTATTTTGGTGAAAATATTTTGACTAGGAAATGAAACTGAAAAAGTATGAGGGAGAAAATGAAAATATTACTTAAGTATGATGATACTTGGTAATATTCTATATCAATGTTATAGAATATAGTACCATTTATAAAAAAATTATCATAAATGGAAAATTTACTTGGAGCCTTGAATGAAACATACAAAGAAATGCAAAACAGAATCTATCAAATTCTTTGATGGCTTTGAAAAAAGCATTTAAAAAATCTTGATAGTACTCAAAACTATGCTAGTTCTTAGTGCTCTGAAAGGGAAAATGCAGACAGCAGTAGAAAACAAACTAATGTTTTAAATTTACATGATTTATGACTTATTTTAACTAAAAGAATGTGAGGGAAGTAATAGTGTGTGAATCCTAAAGCCTAGGCTTTAAGAATTCTGCAGTTCCTGATTTTTTTTCTTATTAAAAAACAAAACAAAACATGGTTATCTACTAAATAGTGAAGGGGTTTCTTATACAGCAATAGAAGCTGTTCCAGGATCTAAGTTGCTACTCTTGGTGCCCACTCAGAACCTTTCAAAAATCCATCAAATTCACACACACATAGACACACACAAAATGCTACATGTAACAAACCAGAATAATCAAACATCTATCATCCACTCCCATTAATTTGTAGATACTGTTATGAGTTTACTAAGACAAAAACAATTACACTTCAACTCTCTTCAGAAGGAAAATCTATTAGTTCAGTGTACAAAAGGTATTGCAATCTTTGTTTAAATATAGTAAGTAATCATTTTTCATTTGGCAACAATAACCAATTTTCAGTAGGATAAAAATTGCTGGAAAGAAAATGAAAACATTTTGTGGACTTCAAAAGCAGTGGGTTTTCATGTTTTCTCTATGTGGAATCTAGATCTAAAAAAAAAAAAAAAAAGGACATGAACATAAAAGGGGATGACTGGGCAGGGAACCAGTGGGAGGTGAGAGAGGGGAAAAGAGGGTGGAGGGAGAATATGATAGAAGTACATAGCATGCACGTATGAAAAGGACATAATGAAACCCATTTAAAAATGTTAGAAAATAAAGAAAAAAGGCCGGTTGGGGAGAGGAGGGATAAGAAACAATAATAGAGGGGGTGAATATGATCAAAGAACATTATATGTATGTATAAAATATCACAATGAAATTCCTTACTTTGTACATTTAATATACACTAATAAAAAGAATTTTTGAAAAGCAGAGGGTTTAGTTCAAACATGGTTACAGAACATATGTATGCACATTTACATACGTAAGTATAGTGCTATGTCTTCTTAATTAAATTTTTTTCAAATATTTGTTTGTGATTTGTAGGAAAGGGAATAAATATCTTCAACAAACATTATTTTAGAACCAGACTTGTGAGTTGCCTGCATACTCATAGGAGCAGATATGATAAACAGATTATAGTTTCATAAAAAACAACTTGGCAGGGAACAGATTTCAAACTATCTAAGCATTGGAAGGAGCCAGCAACAGAGAAGAACACTCCTTGTTTCTCTAGAATGCTTTTCATAACAATACTCATCTTTTCATTTTAATTCCCAACACATTTTCAGCCACATACAACTGTCCTGATCACCTTTACCTACTATAGTAGGGCAACAAAAAGAAAGCACAACACAGTAATTAGAAAGGCAAAGCTTCTGAGTTATGAGAAAAAATAATTATTTCCATAATATACTAATGAAATACATCACTCTAGAACTGGGGTTGACAAACTTTTCTGTAAAAGTCCAGACAGGAAGCTATTACTTTAGCCTTTGCAAATCATGACTTCTGTTGCAATTATTCAATTCTACTTAATTCTGTTCTTTTAGTGTGACAGTAATAAATAAACATCTGTGTCTTTGTCCCCATAAAACTTATTTACAAAAAAGAATGACAGGATAGACTTGGCCTGCAGGCCAGTTTGAAAACCTCTTGTTTAGAATAACATTTTCTTTTCTTTCTTAACTCTCCTTAAATGGAATACTTTAGAAAAGTTTATTTGTGATGGAAAGATAAAATTCTACTCTACTATTTTACTGGATTTGCCATTTTGGGCAAGTTATTAATTATCTCTCTGAGTTTGTTTTCTTTTTTGTCAAGCAAAATACAAATTAGTACCTTAAGGTATGTTGAAAGGATTCAGTAACTGAGCACAGATAAGGCATCTAGAAAAATACTCAGCAAACAGATCTTAATAAAGGCTTCTCCCTTCAGAACTAGCAGGCTTACTTGAATATGCTATGAAATTTCCTTTTTATTTTTTTTTATCTTTACCTACTTACCAACATACTCATTGATCCTACAGCAATGGGTTTATCCTTCAATTCTGGATTGTCCCTCATTTCTACAGCTGCATAGAAAGCATCCATGTCAACATGCACTATGGTATTGTTCAAATTCCGGCTCTGCTCTAAGTCCATTGCAAATTTGTCAACCTTAATTTAAAAAAAGGTAACATACTTTTAGACAACATAATATTGAAACATCATTTATCATAACATTAATTTAGAAGGTATCTACCTGTCTCTGCATCCATCATTTATCCAGCTACTCACTTGTGGGTGCATATTTTATTGTTGCCCATGGATATTTATGAGTATAGAATTTATTTTTGTTTATTAAGACTGGTAATTGCTTTTATTTTCACAAACAGCTTGTTCTCAAACATCATTTCCTAATAACTCTTCTCTCCATATCTCCAGCATTAAGCAGGAACTTAGCAAATACTTTTTGAAGGAATGAATGATCCTAACTGCTTATATCAAATGATTCTTACACTATATAAATTTGGAGAGCAACTTACTGAAACTGAAAGTTTCAATTTAGGTAAAACAAACAACTCCCATTTGACTCATAATATTAATATCTTAAAATAGCAAAAAAGGTTATGCCTTTTTGGCATGTGATATTATGTTGAATAGTAGTGTACAACCTGTACAACTGAACATGCTAAAGTATAATGTAAACATTCCTTCCACAAAATTGTCTTCATAATGCTAAAATCTGATAAATGTTAGTCTATATAAGTAAAAATTGAAAATTTAAGCTGTAATTTATTTTCATGATCCTCAATATATGTCACATATAACAATGAAGGACTTTTTTTTTTTTTTTTTTGCAGATAGAAACAGCTTTATTTTTTCAAATGGGTTGTTCAGAAAGCATATACAGGAGTAAAACCATCACAAACAAACGTGGTTTGCCATATAGTCACTGGTTTTATTAGGAAAAGAAGACACATTTGAATAACTTGTAATCCAAACATTTTCCAACTCTTTCCACTTTATTTCTTTCTTTTCTTTGAAGGTAGCAACAATAGATACATTTTGGTTACCTGTTCCTTCAAAATGAAGGATTTTAATCTTTAAAGAATTTTTGTTTCTTCAGAGAAAAACAACTGGATTGAAAAGACAGAAGAAAAATGAAAGTGGGTAGAAATAATCAAAGTAGGCAAGTAAGAAAAGTTTATGAAGCAGACACTCATAACTGTTGCTTTTGTGTGGTCTGCCTCTGCTAATGCCATATGCTTACTTTACCAACTTACCCTGCACCAGAGGGTGGTTATGTGAGTTTTGATCTCTGCAACATACAAGAAAGTTGCTGAGACCATTAAGTAAAATTTTAAGAGAAGAAAGCTATTAAAAGAGTTGAACATGAGTGAGTACCTGACACACAGTGCAATTTCAACAAATGCAATCAATTACTAGAAGGATTAGTGGGTAGCTGTATAACAAAACAATCAAAAACTGACAGAAAAACAGCTCAAAATAAGCAAGTGAGGGATCTCTGCAATGAAAGCAACCTCCATCATGTGCAGATCCTTAAAACAAATTTCTTCTAAGGTGAAGGACCAACTTAACGTGGTATAACATGCCTTTCCCTCCATGTTGGTCTTCAGCTTTGCCTCCACTCTGCAGAATGCTTTTTTATGACCTTCGTTCTTAGCGTTATTGCGAGACCATTTGCTCACTAGCTGTGGTTAAGACTGTCATTCCTCCCTTAGAAACAATCACCCTGAATCATTTTGTCTGAAGCAGCTACAGTCGTCTGTCCAGACAGCCTTATTCCTATTTAGTCTGCAACTCACTGAATGACGTGAGGACTCAGTGCCTTCCCCAGGCTGTTCCTCTCTCTGCCCAGCATGCCTTTCCTATCTCTGTCACAAGCCTTCAAGGATCAGCTCAAATATCCCTCTGTGACTTAATTGGATCTTTGCCCTCTGTAATAGAAAATTTAATGTTCCCCTACTTGTTTTCTTGTTCTTATCATGACCCTTATTGTATTAGATACTAAATTGTGAGTTCCTTCAGAAGAAAGAGCTTACCTACCTTTAAATCTTTCCCCACAAGAGAGACAGGAGGGGAAATTGGTAGGAAGAAATGAAATTTACACAAATATATTAAAGTTGGTTAAAAAAAGAGAGCAGTATTAGAAATATTTTAGAAAAGGATGGCTTCTTACAGTGAAATAGTATGCCTGATAAACTTTTCAATTTTAAATCATCCTGATTTAAAACATTCTTCTAGTACTTCAATTTTGAACTAGAGTTATGAACAAATTATGCTTAATATGGGTCAAGTAAGAATAAGGGAGTAGAATCTGAAATATTTTGGGCTGGAGTCATCTAGAAAAGGAAAAGATAATAAATAGAAAGCAAACCAAATGGGGACTCGTATGTCAATGCTATGACAGTCTCTTCAGCAATCTATTCTTTCTTGTACTTAATGCAAGTGTGCAGCTGCCAAAAGGAATCTCACTGCATGACGCATCGTTCCACTTTCCTTTACTATCTCTCATTAGTCACCCTTGTCTGAACTCTCCTTTTTCTACATCTACCAGATGCATACCTCTGCTGCTTTTTAAAGCTTCTGCTTAAGTCTTCATTCACATTTTCCTTTCTTCCATATTCCATACCAATGAGTTTCAAGTTCTTATCTGAGGCTGTAGCATGTACTGTGTTCCCTTTTCTACTACTGAGAACTGGTGTGCATCAGAGGGGTTAAAAATAAGGGCTCTGGTTTGGGTCCCAGCACTACCAAGTCATTAGTTACCAGACAGTGGGTTAACACCTTTCACCATTATTTTCTTTATGGGACACTAAACTAACCTAAAACGTTGCTAAAGGAAGTAAAGAGACACTCATATAATGCACTTACCTAAGGATACAGTGAGGGCTTAGGTGACAGCACATCTAATTTTTAAAGTACTTGTGATATGTGTTATGTAATATACTAAGTGCTTTCTCTACTAACTAATTTACTGGTTAGAATTCTGAGATCTTAATTATTATTCCAATTTTTTATAGATGAAGAAACTAAAACTCAGTAAAATTAAGTAATTTGCCCTGAGTCATACAGCTGGTAAATGGAGAACCAGATCTGGAAACCAGGTTACTCCAAAGCCTGTCTTCTTTCTGTTGTTTTATGATGCCTCCCTAAAATAGATATTTAAGTCCTTAAAACTGATAGAAGTTCAAATCAAACTAATGGTATATTTCATATCCATATTATATATTTTAGTTTTTAAAATCCTCAATTTCTATTATACTTACAAGAATATTTCAGAAATAATGTTTTTCCTATCAACTTAGTATTTCCTTACAGACTACTGAGTTTATCTGAGTTAGTAAAGTCAATTGCTAAAATGGTCAAAATGCACTGATTTTGCTGTGTCATTGCCATTTAACATAACATGGATGTTTGTTCATTTGATTTATGTACTTCTGTTTACTATAAGATATTTGGCAGTTATAACAATGAAGTTTAATGAGGATGGGATAGGGTGGGGACTACTCAAGAGAGTTCAGAATGGGCACCCTGGGAGTTCATGCCTGCAGAGGTTATACACCTCAGTTTGACTAGTAATAGATCACAATGTAATATCACTCACACACAATAAAAGCTAGCATATGCAGATTTTATAACTTTAAAATAGAAACACATTTCCCATGAAAACTTCTGTGTTCACTCAGATTTCTTGACTTCTTAGGACTTCCTCAAATCTCCTCCTGTTTATACAACTCCTTTTAGAGGAAGCTCAACAAATGAAACAATCCAACAATCAACATAAAACACATTTCCTGCCATTCCTGTTGCAAAAGATGCCAGAGAGCCTCCCATGAAATAGTCAAATAAAAACTGGAACAAAATCTGAAATTCTGTTACACAATGGAAGGTATTTTCTATTCCTTCAGATTATTAGCATATATGACAGTAAGTTTCATAACAGCAAATAGTTATACACAGCACCATTTACATGTGCCTCTGTATCTTTAACATTTTTATTAAAGATTTTTATAGACTACAGATTAAAAAAAAGTTACAAAAAGTGTCCAGAAAGTAAATTGTTTAAGGAATAAGACCAATTTGAAAATAATGTTGTTTTGGACAGAAAGAAAAAACTTTAAAACTCCATAAAAATGTTTATTTGAAAACAACAATGCAGGAGAAAAACAAACAAATCTAAATTCTAGATTTTTAAAGTCTTAAAAAAATTTTTTTTTTGGTAATATTGGGTTTTGAAATCAAGATTTTGCACTTGCTAGGCAGGTGTTCTACCCTCTGAGCCACATCCCAAATCCTAGCACCTCCCTCCTTGCAAAAAAAAATCATAAGTAAAAAATTTTAAGAAGAGGAGTTATAAGGGAGAATGTTAAAAACTGTATTTTTACTTTTCAATAAGTAAAATTGTATAGTACTTATACAGGAAAAGAGTTAATTGACTAGAAGGCAGCATACAGAAATAAACCAAAGTATAATGAGAATTTATTGTTGGAAAGTGGCTTATTTCATTTCAGCATAGAAAGGACTCATGATTCAATAAATGGCACTCAGACAAGTGAATCACCACTCAGGAAAAATATAATGGCAATTAAGAAAAAAAGTATTACACCTCACATCAAAACAATTCCAAATTTCTGCTCTATGAAAGATACTGTCAAGAGAATAAAAAGATAAGTCACAGATTGTGGAGAAAATACTTGCAAAACCATAACTGGTATCCAAAATACACAGGAATTCTAAAACCAAAAGTAAACCAAAGAACTACATAATATAAAAGGGGCCAACGACCTTAACAAACACCTCACCAAAAAGATATACAGATGACAAATACATATATGAAAAGATGCTCATAATCCTTTTTCACTTACTAGGGAAATGCAAATTAAAATGAGATACTGCATATCTGTTAGAATAGCCAAAATCCAGAACACTGACATCAAATTGTAGGAAGAATGTGTAGCAACAGAACTCTTATTCCTTGATGTTGGAAATGAAAATTGGTACAAGCCACTTTGGAAGACATTTGGTAGTTTCTTATAAAACTAAACGTTTTCTTAGTATATGATCCAGCAATTACACTCCTTTGCATTTATTGAAAGGAGATGAAACTTATGTCTATATATAAACCTACACATGGATATTTACTTATAAATATTCATAATTGCCAAAACTTGGAAGCAACCAAGATGCCCTCAGAAGCTGAATAGATAAATAAACTGGTACATCCAGACAATGGAGTAATATTCAGCACATGAAAGAAGTGAGCTGTCAAGCCATGAACAGAACTGGAATAATCTTTAATGCATGTTGTCAAATGAAAGAAGCTAATTTGAAAAGGCTACATTTTGCACGAATCTAGCAATAAAACATTTGGGCAAAGGCAAAACTTTGAGGATGGTGAAAAGATCAGAATTAGTTGGTAGAGGAGAGGAACAGGCAGAGCACAAAGGGTTTAAGGCAGTAAAACTACTTTGTATGATACTACAATGGTGAATACATGTCATAAATTTGTCCAGACTCCTAAATATACAACATTAACAGTGAATTATTGATTTGGGGTGATAACGATGTGCCAAAACAGGTTCATTAATTGTAACAAATGTTCCATCCTTGTAGGATATGGTGCTACTCAGGAAGCTAGACTGTGTGGGGGCAGGGAAAACCTTTACCTTCCCTCAGTTTTGCTGTGAACCTAAAACACCTATAAAAATACCATTGGATTTGATTGCATAAACTCAAAAAAATTAAAAAATTAAAAGATAACATACTGGCAACATTTATGACAAATGGCAAGAAAAAAATCTTTAATGCATGATAAGATCTTATAAATCGGGAGAAATGGATATAAACTTCTCTAGAAATGTGGACTGTTAGTTGAACCTCCAAACACATTTCTTCCACAGTAACAGATTTTTTGCAGGGCACATGGCCACCCAGCTAGAGAATATATTTTATAGCTTCTCTTCCAATTGTGTGTGGCCCTGTAACTTAAGTTACTGCCAAAAGAATAGGAGTTTAAGTAATGTGTTTAACTTCTTTTTCTCTTGTTTAATAGCAATTTACCTTCCTTTGATTTTTTTTTTCCACTCTGTTTCCTTTATTGGGAGATGGCATATGGATTGGAGACAATCCAGTTTTGTCAAGTCCAAGTAATGATAACATCAGGAGAGGACAGAGAGTGAGAAAGAATTTTTTTCCCCAATATTGGAACTTGGAACTCAAAGGGCCTTGTGCTTTCGAGGCAAGCACTCCATCCCTTGAGCTATACCCGAGCCCTTTGCTTTCAGTATTTTTTGAGATAGCATTTCACATTTTTGTCCAGCCTGGCCTTGGACTGTGATGCAATGCTCCTGTCTCTACCTCCAGAGTAGCTTGGATTATAGGCATGAACCACCACACCCATTCCAAGAAATAAATTCTCATTTAAAATATATTTTTGGGCTTTTAGTGACAGTTATTTAACCTATATCTCAACAAAGACAATAAAAGAGGACATTCCCACAATAAGGAAATAATAATGGCTAATATGTGAAAAGATATTTTCTGTCATAATAAAAGAAAGATAAATTAAAATAATAAAAATATTTTGCAAAAATGCAAACTATTAAAAGTGATAAAATCAAATTTTAAACAAGCCTGTGAGGAAATTAATACTCCTGAGGCAGGCTAAAGATAAGAAAAGATTGGGACTCTTACATATATAACTTAACATATTGCATTTAAGATGGAACGTTTTTTCTCTCTGAAGTATGCGCAGAGTGAACCAGCACTCTAGCCTGGAGATGGGGAACTGCCCAGGTTTTTCTCCTCCCACAGGTTAGTGCGATTTTGCAAGTGCCTTGAAGCAGAGAGTTCACGCTGTGCACCGTGGCCTTTTGCAACTCCTTTCCTAACCTTTAATATACCTTTATTATCACCCTCACCACATCTATAGACCCTACTGGATATATGCATCTGCAATTTTCTGCTTATCAGTGACTACAATACTCCCATGTTGAAAATATAAAATGTATGACCTGTGATGAAAATAACTGCATTAGAGTGCACACACAGAATAAGGATGATCTCCACACAGGTGCATATAAATTTTAAAAACCCTAGAACCAAGGTGGAGTAAGGTAAATAAAATTATGGTACCTCCACACAATGGAATACTATGAAGCATTAAAAATGATAACCTGACAGACAAGTCATCTTTTGTCATGATAGTTAAAGGTTATCTTGCATTCTGAGAAAGCATATAATCAAAAAATGACAACAAATTTGGTAAAGAAAACAAAATTTATTATCTCTGAACTCCATGACAGAAGGCTTTCATAACATATTAGATGAATGTTAGAATTTTGTTATTATGCTATGATTTAGTGCTTTTTTAAACAGTTAATCAGTTTTGATAGAAAAGAAACCTCTCTGGCCATGACTTTAGTTTTACTAGCAGAAATCTGACTGCTTGTCCATCTACCACATGTTGCCGTGTGCTTTGGTTCCTCCAAACTCTTCTACTAAAATAACTCTTAATAGCAGAGGGAACTTGGAATTATTTATTCCCCCCAAAATTCTAAAGTTTTAGAAATCTTGTGGTATTTTAAAAATTCATGTAATAAATAGCATCATTTATTATTTTACTAAAAATGGTTGTTTTAAGTTGCTTTCTAATTTAATCAGTTAATATGTTTGCTCAATCTTTTTTTTTTTTCTCAAAATCAGCATTACAAAAAATATACCATATATTTATCCTATGGCCTTTTCTTGTTGCAAGTTCAAGTAGTATGTAATCAAAAGAACACAGGCTTTGGGTTGACTCCTAGCTTTGCCAACTACCTGTCCTATGAAGCTGGACAAGTTAATTCAGACTCCATTTACTCTTCTGTGTAACTGAGGTGACAATGCCTAGGTGTGGAATCTCTAAGTAAATGAGTAGAGCAATGCTTAGCAAAGTATGTGCATTTGCTGAATGGGCATGCCTTTCAATAAAATGAACACTTACATTTCATCTTATTTGCAGTTACGACTTGATGATGATGCACTTTAGCTGACAATTACTATTTTACCAACTTCTACTCTAACAACTGAATTAATACCTGTAACTGTGCTTTTCTTAGCTGCTGGCTGGTAATTTGAGCTTTTTGTTGCATCATATTTTCAATTCGTTGGTTGACTTGCTTTTCCTTCTTGAGCTCATTTCCATAAAATCTGGACCCCTATGGAGGAAACAAAGCATAAGAAAAATGTCTTTCAGGGAAGGAAGCATCACAATAGTATAACCTGGTGGCTAAGAGTATGCATTCTGAAATCAGACAGATTGAATTCAAAACTTAGTTCTACTACTTACTAGCTAGGTGACCACAAAAGACTTCATATTTCTTTCTGTTTTCTTATCTGTAAAATGTATTTTGAAATAATTACTTAAGTCTTATAATTGTTGTGAAATAGTCCTACGCACAAGTTCCTCCACATTCAGGAAAGAATAATGTGTCCTAGGTAGTAGGGTCCCTGGGGTATTTATCTAAACGCTTAGTCAGCGGGCTCATGGGTTACCTCCTTCACTATGTTACTTTCAAAAATTTAATGTTAAGTCATTAAAGAATATGTAACAGACACTTAATAAATTACCTATCATTCATTCTACCACTGAACATAGCATCTATGAAAAACCTGGGAAGTTCTCCATCTCTGGGTTGATAGACACAAGTTATTTCTCCTTTTTGGCTATTATGAAAAATGCTGCTATGAAGGACTTTATGTGAACATACACTCTCATTCCTCCTAGGCATGTACCTAGCAATAGAAATTCTGTGTCATGTGGTAACTCCAAGCTTAATCTTTTGAGGAACTACCAGACTAGTTCCTAAAGTGATTGAACCACTATGCAATCACATTAGCAATATACAAGGGTTTCAACTTTTCCATATCCTTGCCAACATTTGTGATTTTCTTATTTTTTATAGCCATTCTGGACAATAGTATTGTGAATTACATCTAATTATGGTTTTAAAATATGCATTTCCTTAATGACTACTGATATTGAGCATCTTTTCATGTATCTATGAGTCATATATGCATATCTTCTTTACTAAAATACCTATTTTGCCCTGTTCTGTGTGATAGTGGGATTTGCACTTGGTAGCAAGCCCTCTGTCACTTGAGCAAACAGCCTATCCCCTTTTTGCTTTAGTTATTTTGATAACATTACATATCAAAGTATTAAAATCTTTATTGAAAAAGATATTCAATCAAAATTTCATGATTTTTTTAGACAGAAATTTAATAGTAACTAAATTATAGATATTGAAAGATACAAGCAACATACCTTTGTGGATTCCATTATAATTTTGTTAATTTTCTCTTTATCTAATCCTTCCATTCCTGCTTTATTATCATTAAGTCCCACACGAAGCAAAAGATTATCTTTGTGATTGTCATTCTTCTCCTTTGTGCTTTCCATGCTGTAAACTTAAAATGGTTTCTTTTTTATCACCTGAAAAAGCAAACAAAATAAACACTTTAAAAATTATCCATGGAGGGGGAAAAAACAATAGGTAAGGATTCTTACTGCCTGAAAAATTACTACTTAGATTTTTATAATTAATATTTCAAGATTACTATATTCCTAGAGACAAGAAAGGAATTCATATTTTCTGCATGCTTTGTACCAGCCAGTATGCTTGGGACTTTATAAGTGAACTCCCTCTGGTCTTAAAAGGTAGATATTATTATTCTCAGTACAAAAATTTAAGAAATCTGTGTCTTAGAACATGTCTATTGACACAAATTTGCCACAAAGAGACATCTCTGTTGCAAAACAAGTCTGAGTCCCCAAATTCATGTTTTTAATCCAGATTAACCCTGTATAGAGAATAAAAATAACACTTTCTCTACTATACATATTAAGCTCAATAGCAATTATCATATAACTGTATGCAGAGCTCCATTCTTTTTTTTTTCATTTATTCATATGTGCATACATTGTTTAGGCCATCTCTCCCCCTGCCTCACGGCCCCTTCCTCTCCCCATCACCCTCCTTGCTTCCAGGCAGAACCTGTTCGGCCCTCTTCTCCAATTTTGTTGAAGAGCATAAGTGATAGTAAGAAAGACATAGAGTTTTTGCTAGTTTGAGATAAAGACAGCTATACAGAGAGAGTCCTAGCATTGCTTCCATGCACATGTGTATTACAACCTGAATTGGTTCATCTCTACCAGACCTCTCCACTACTTCCCAGTCACCTTCCCATAGTGGCCTCTGTCAGTTTAAGATTACTTTATTTGCTCCTCTACAGTGGGCACATCAGACACTTTCAAGTTTTGGGTTTCCTACCTTTCCCTATTCCTTCTGTTCCCATTCTCCCCTTAGTGTGTGACCCATGTCCACCAATATTACTGCATTTGTTTTAGGTCTAAAGTCTGCAGAATGAGGGAGAACATGCGATTTTTGGCCTTCTGAGCCTGGTAACTTCACTAAAGATGATGTTCTTCAGTTCCATCCATTTACTTGCGAATGACAAGATTTCATTCTTCTTTGTGGCTAAGTAAAATTCCATTGTGTATAAATATCACATTTTCTTAATCCATTCATTGGTAGTGGGGTATCTTGGCTGTTTCCATAACTTGGCTATTGTGAATAGTGCTACAATAAACATGGGTGTGCAGATACCTTTGGAATAACCTGAATCGCATTCCTTTGGGTATATCCCTAGGAGAGGGATTGCTGGATCATATGGCAGGTCTATGTTTAGTTTTTAAAGTAGCCTCCATATTGTTTTCCAAAGTGGTTGTACTAGCTTGTATTTCCACCAGTGGTGTATGAGGGTTCCTTTTTCCCCACATCCTCACCAACATTTGTTCTTGGTGGTGTTTTTGATGATAGCTATTCTAACAGGAGTGAGGTGGAATCTTAGTGTGGTTTTGATTTGGATTTCCTTTATGGACAGAGATGGTGAGCATTTTTTCATGTGTTTTTGGCCACTTGGATTTCTTCCTTTGAAAAAGTTCTGTTTAGTTCAGTTGCCCATTTCTTTATTGGTTCATTGATTTGGGGGGAGTTTAGTTTTTTTGAGGGCTCTATATATTCTGGTTATCAGTCCTTTGTCTGATGTATAGTCAGAAAATATTTTTTCCCACTCTGTGGGTGTCTCTTCAGTTTAGAAACCAATTCTTTTGTTGTACAGAAGCTTTTTTATTTCATGTAGTCCAGTTTGTCCATCCTTTCTCTTAGTTGTTGGGCTACTGGAGTTCTATTGAGGAAGTTATACATATTGCTTCCAGAGTATTCCCTGCTCTTCCACATATTGCTTCCAGAGTATTCCCTGCTTTCCTGTACTAACTTTAGAGTTTCAAGTCTGATATTAAGGTCCTTAACCCACTTTGAGCTGATACTAGAGCAGGGTGATAGACATGGATCTAGTTTCAATTTTCTGCAGGCACTTTTTTTTCCCAGCAACATTTGTTGAAGAGGCTATCTATTCTCCATTGTATGTTTTTGGCGCCTTTGTCAAAAATAAGGTGGGCATAGCTGTGTGGATTCATATCCAGATCCTCTATTCTGTTCCACTGGTCTTCATAATCTGTTTTTGTGCCAGTACCATGCTGTTTTTATTGCTATGGCTCTGTAATACAGTTTGAGGTTGGGTATTGTGATACCTCCAGCATTGCAGAGCTCCATTCTTAATGCTTTGAAGAATATTGGGAAAAAAAACCCTATTTGTTCACTTCTAGGAAATTATTACATTGTACAATGTTATATGACTCTAAGGCAAAGAATAATTCTTTAAAAGGCTGGGCATGGTGGTACATGCCTATAGTTCAGCTTCTATGGAGGCTGGATCCCTTGAGCCCAGGAGTTGGAGATCAGTGGTGGGGCAGTGATGGGGGGTGGAGACATAGGGGAAGAAAGAAAGAAAAAAGGAAGTTTTCAGCTATTTTCCTATCTGTTGACATCTGATTATGTCCAGTTGTACAGGCATACATTTAATATCATTTACGTGCTTATGATTTCCTGGTTACAGTGTCAGTTCAAATGTCCATATGGCATTTTAAATTATGTCCCAAATTGATCTTCTCATATGTTCAAGCCCCTAACCAGCTCCTTTCAGTTGAGAGCAATTAATCTTTTTCAACTGTCCATACAAATAACCTTGGAGTCATTCTTGACCCTCTCTTTCTCATATACCCTCATCCAAAACTGTCAAGAAATCTTGTGGATGCTTTCAAAATACATCCTGAGTTTAACCACTTCCTCTATCATCTCTGCTTTCATGCTACTCTGAACTGCCATTACCTCTTGCCTGAACTGCAACAGACTCAGTCTCTCTGCTTCTGTCATAGCTCTCCTACAGTCAAATAAATAGTAGCTCAACTGACTCTTAAATCACAACTTACTTCATGACACTCTTCTGCTGAAAACTATAATGCTATTCAAGGCCCTAAAGAATCTGGATCCTTGCTACTTTTCTATCCTCATATTTGCCTTATACTCTTCCCCTCCCTCACTACTCTCCAGGCACCCTGGCCTCTTTGCTGTTCCTCTACAAGATACACTTTAGCCTTGAGGCCTTTTTGTACTGGCTATTTCCTTGCCTGAGAGGTTCTTATATCAGATAATCTCTAGGCTAAATCTTCATGTCTCCTTTAAGGTTTTACTTAAATATTGATATTGCCTGTCATTGAGGGCCTACTCTGACATTCCTGGTTTTTTTGTTTTGTTTTTCTTTTTGTGCTACTGGTGCTTGAACACAAAGCCTCATGCTTGCTAGGCTTGCTAGGCTAGCTAGGCAGGCACTCTATCACTTGAGCCACTCTACCAGACATTCCTGTTTTAAATTGAAGCTTGATCACTTTCTGATTATTTTTACATCAAAGAAAATTGATTAGACCACGGCAAAGGCTTGCTCTCCAGCGTGGCAGTATAGGGAGGTGGTAGAACCTAGTGGGAGGTCTTTAGATTATGAGGGGCATGCCTAGGAGGGACTATATGACCCAGATCTCTTCCCTTTTCTTTCTCTTTGCTCCCTGGCTTATGGGAGCAAAACTAATCATGGCTGGTACCTCCAAAACTGTGAGCCAAAATAAACCCTTTTCATTATAAGTTAATTACTTCAGATATTTATTAGAATAAGAGAAAGTTGGATAATACAGTAATAAACAACATACTAGTTTTACATTTGAATCACTGAGTTCCTTGTAGTACTATCATTTATGTCACTGTGGTGAGCCTGCTTTTATGTTTTATGGGCATTTCCATAATATTTTCAAACTTTCTAAAACACTCCATTAATCCTGGTTATCTCTTGTCTTCCCATAAGCTCTTTAGTGAATTTCTTTATCTAGAAATCCATAAAGTGAAAAGGGGCTCTGGAAGAGATGTTCACATGACATCATAACATATGATGATTTTCTCCTATTTTTGTAGGGAGTGAAGTTTACTTCAAATAAAAAGGGCAGCAGGTAATGTAAGTGCTGGTGGCTGGCATATGATAAGCTCTCAGCCAACAGTTATTACTATTATTATTACTATAATTAAAGATAAGCCAAATTTCCAGAGATGTGAAAATCACTAGCCTTACTTCTATAAAAGGCAACAGGGTAAACATCCGCAAGGAAAGGCCAAAGTTCATACATCATAAAGATGTATGCTTTGCTTTCAAATTAGCATATGTATTGTGATTACCAGGCAGTATCACATATAAAATTCCAAGTCTTACAAATGGATATAACTGTGAGTCTACAAACAAAAGATTTTTTTTTTTGAAAAGAGAAATGGGCCTGATATTACAGAATATAGTCCTGCTCACTTCAACTAAGAAGCAAAACAATAATGTGCAAACTTAAAGGAAAGAACTCTGGGTTCCTGTGGTTTAGCAGAGCAATTCAAAAGTACATTTTCTCCAAAAAATTCAGATTCAGTCTGATTCTACCACTGGCTATCCAGGTTACCACTTAAAACATGCGAGACAAACCTCTATTTTTAGTGGTAGTAAGGATGGAAACTTAGACATTTTCAGAAGGAATTCTAAGAAAGAAGTTTTAGTATGATACAGTTCCTCCCATCTATAAAAGGCACACAAAACTATGCAAACAATATCATTAGCATTTAGCAGAAATCACCTGGAATGACAGAATTATAGATGACTTTTATACTGTAAGGAAAGAGAGAGGGAGAAAGACAGACAGACACAGAGAGATAAGAGAGAAAGACAAGTATGAGTAAGGAAAACTACAGTTACGCTCCTATGTGAAGCTTGCTTCTTATTTCTAGCATACTGAAAATAACGAAGCTCAATACTTACTCAGAAAAACTTAGAATTATTATTTTTAAATCTCTCAAATGTTCGAATATTTAGTACTTTTAACTCTATAAATACTCAGCATCAAACTTCAGACTGTGAGCAAGGCATAGTGGCACATGCCTGTTAATACTAGCAACTGGAAAGGCAGAGGCAGATGGATTATCAATCTAAGGCCGGCCTGAACAAAGATAGCAA